GCCCGCCTTCGACCACACTTCCCAAGCTCAGCAACATCCACCACAGCCAGCTGCAGCTGGCGCCCCAAACCATGCCGCTGCTGTACAGGCGCTGCTCTCACAGGCACAGTCTTCAGGCGGCAACGTCAGCTTGCCAGACTCGCTCAAGTCTGAGAACATCGAAGACCTGAATGCTTGGCTGTTGGCCCTTGGCGCCGACGCAGAACGAGACGCAAGTTCCAGCAACAACAGCAACTTCAGCAGCCAAGACTCCAGACTCTTCGATGCTCAGACATTGTCAAGCTTGGGTCTCACGGACATTCCTGGCTTCGATCCTTCCCTACTAGAGTCTAGCAACTGGCATTCTTCATTCACGCACGGTGGCTCAGCTCAGCAATGGTCTAGCGGCTCGGCAAATCGCCCCATTGCCTCACTTCCTCATAGGCACGGTCAAGCAGCCCACACAGGCCCTTCGTCCTCGGCACCAGGCTACGCGCACTCTTACGATCGCATGCAACCTACTTTCGGCCATTCCCTTGTTCCACAACTCGGGTCAAAGGACAGCGCAGCCGCGAACTACCGTCGCATCGAGCCGCTTACTCGCGCAGCTCCCGTCATACTGGGCCATCGCGAGACTCTGTCATCAGTGCGCGATACCAAGGCATCGACGGTTGACTCTGACATGGCAGACATCTCCAGCCGACGACGGTCGATCAGCCCATCAGTTTCGGAAGCTTCTGAAGCATCTACATCTACCACAAACCAGTCCCACGGACTTTATCCTCGACTTACCAGTAGTGATCTCTCGCGCCAGCTGCCGACTCCCCTTGGCATGGATCGCTCGCGACCATCTATGGCGAGCATCAGCTCCATCCTCTCCTCGTCAGACTCTCCAGCCGGCAAGAGATCGTCGCCTTCGCTGCACAATGTCCGAAGCAGAGGCAGCTCCCACGGCGCGAGCAGTGTCAGCAGCAGCAGCACTTCACCGTCACCGCCCCCCGCTCGTGACAGCCCCGAGCCGCTGTATCCCCGACTCGACGATGCTCAAGCAGAGGTCAACAGCACCATTACTGACAGCGTCGCTGGACTCAAGGTCACCTCTGCCGGTGTTCCAGCCGTTGTGCGGGCTCACCACGTTCGACTCATTCGCGACCTGCTCATCGCCATCAACTTCCCAGAGCGCGCCCAGGAGATGGCTGCTGCTGCGCGCCAAGCCGCTGAACAAGCTGAGAACACTCCCTCGCCGACTCTGCCACCTATTCGATCCGCTCTCCCAACCACTTCTGTTGAAGAAGGCCAATCGACACCCACCGTCAAGGGCGACTCTGACGAGATGGACGAAGACAGAAGTTCTGTCGAGCCTCTGGACCGAGCAGGCACTCCGCGACAAGATGCCGATGACCGTCGACTTCCAGCTATCCGGGAACTGCTGCAAGGCATTCCTGCCCGAGCGCCGCCTTCAGGGCCGGGTGGCAGACGACTCATGGACATTGACGTCTGAGTTGCAGTCGTCGCTGCTCCACCTCGCGAATTCGGTCACGTCACCCACGCATACCCTCCGCCCCGCTTCATCGTCCGTACTCTTTTTCCTCCTCTGCATCTATCTCTGCGCCAGACGCCCTTTCTCGCTCCTTCTCAATATTACATTGTTCCTTGATTCGCGTTCAGAGCCTCGGAAGAATTTGACGTCGATTTTGTACATCACATATCTTACCCGCAATGAAGTTGCCGTAATCGAGAAGTCCCGAGAAGGAGAAGCCCGCGTAGCACGATGGGGTTGAATCGCTTGAATGAAGAGATGACATGTTGTAACGAAGGCGCGGTCGAAAAGAGATCTCGCGACCAAATGCTTTGTTTTGCCGCAGTGACGCCGGAGAGCTCAGTCCACATATGATGACGCTACCTACCAAGCATGCGTTCGTTATGGGTGCATTCTGAGTGGTCATTCGTGCCTGGCGACGACAACCTTTGCACATTCTCGATTCAGACTTCAACATTGTTTGCACAAAGTGTCGAACCGTTGTTCAAGAACGCATTGTTGTGGTGCAAATCCAATGTGATTGCCCCCCCCCCCCCC